GCGAAAAAGAAATGTTAGGTTGAGCTTCAGGCGTCTCAGCCAAAGTGATTATAATCCTGGTTTTTTGCATCTCGCTTCGCATGCAAGTCCTTCGTTATGTATTAGTAGGCGCCGAGTAAAGTTTCGTTGAATGTTCTCTACCCGAATTCTGTCCGATACTTTCATGTTACCATAGATAGCTGTGCAATACTCTAATACCGGGTGAACCATAGCCTTGTACAGTATACGTTTTGCCTCAGGTGTGAGTATGTTTCTGTGTAGAAGACCAATGAGTCTTCTGCCTTTGGAAACTATTGAATCTGCACACTTCGTAAAGACAAACTTCTGGAGCAAGTGACTCCGGGGTCTTTCACAGTGTTGTATATCTGCAGTGCGATGTCACCCAAGTGTAGTGTTATTTCTGAGTGGGATTTATTGAAACGGAGGATGCCACTTTTATTTGGGTTTAGAGGGAGCTGCCAGGTCACGCCGCATGTGAATATTCTCTTCAGATCTTGTATTTGAGAGAGGCCGTGTGTTAGTTCTGCAGGAGAAAAGCTGTAGACTATCTTCAAGTCGTCTGCGTAGAGATAAAGTGCGCCATTTTTGATAACGCTGCAGATATCGTTTGATAAATTGGGAAAAGTAACGACCCTGGCACACTACCCTGGACGACATCACTTTGTATAGGTCCAGGGGGGGAGTAGCAGTTGCTGAACTTTGCCACTTGGAAGCGACCCTCTAAAGATGTTCTAATCCAGGACGGTAAAGGGGGCTTGAAAACCATATGATTGCAACTCAGTGACCAGGCGTTTCTGAGGCACCTTATCGAATGCTTGCTTGAAGTCTAACAAAAGGGTAGTTACAAAAAGGCCTTGGTCGTGCCTGTATGTAACGTCGTCTAGATAGTCAAGATAGCTGATAGCGCATGACCGGCCTTTCAAGAATCCATGTTGTGCTGGTGGGAGTAACTGGTTTGCTGATAACCTAAAAGTTGCATACGCGTTCACTCATGATAATTCATCCCACTTCCAAGCACTAATACAAAGGGAGCTTGATATAAAATCCGCATGGTCTGCTGCTCGGAAACTTCAGTTCAATATAGGCAAATATGGCTGAATATGTTTTGGCGCTCCGTCGGTGGGTATCCAACTACATCTTCAGTCTACGAAACTTCCTGATCCTAAAAGTGTATGTGACCTTGGACCAAGACATTCAAGGGACCTCACGTTTTCTGAACAGGTAGCATCACAGACTGGCAAATCTAGGATGCTGATGGGTTGCATAGTTCGTAACTTCCACTTCAAAGAAGTCAGGTTACTGGTCTATAAAACTTGCGTACGTCCACTATTACAATACTGTCCATTTATACTGAGTGGTGTCCACATAATAGACAAACATAAAATAGTGTGTCGAAAGGTATTTCACAGCTAGATCACTGGGACACGATTGCTAAGAGGACTACAGCTCCAGATGCAGAACACTAAGTCCAGGACCACTTTGGACGAGACGACTCTAAACTAACCTGACACTCTCCTTTAATGTGTTACATGAACACACATTTACAGCCGGCCGGAACACAGCAGTTGCTACGATCCGCGCAACCACCCCCGTAGCGTCAAAATGAAATCTTTCAAATTCTGCTTGCGCGCAAACTTCTTCATAGTCAGATTCTCTCAGTTGTGGAACAGACTTCCAGCTAAAGTGAGGGCCTCCAAATCAACCTCTGAATTTGGTCGATTACTAGTTAACTTCCTATCATCTGATGACTTTTCCGGTTCATCGAATACACCAACAGTATCCTTCACGACACTCTATATACTCGGCCTCCTTAATGCGTAGTGAGACAGCCACCACACCTACACTGACCTTTCATACGAAGCGTTGGGGAGACTTCCATAAGTTGTCACAAACCAACGGCACATTCTGCCCCACCCAACACAGTAATCAAAAACAGAGATTCTACACCACATGACAGCAGGAAATTTATATTTTTAAATACTCTATAGAAAAAGGAAACGCAATGAAAGCCATAGCAAGGGAAGTTAAGTAGGGAGAAACATGAACATAGAAAACACCCTTCTTGTTGGAATTCTCGCTTTCTCAGTCTGCTGCTTTGTCTACTTTTTTCTCGTTGTAGAAAAATAATTCAATTCTAAACTTTGGCTTGGTTGTCACCAAGAATTAATTACCTAAGGGACAGACGATGGCCGAAACTACCCTTCATGGTGGGTAACCAGCTTCATCAAGTTCAGAATACCTAACTACAACAAACAGAAATAAAAATGTTCACTGTACTGCAACTTCACAATTACCAAAATCTAGGATTAACTCATTATAAAAGTGACCAGCAAAGTCCAACACTTACCAACTGCAAGACTGTCACGACCCGTGAAAACGGCGGACAAGATGTTCTGGAAGTCCATTTGGTGCAAGGAATGTTCATTGGACTACAACCTGATAATTGTCAAAGCCCAGGACTTAATCATTATGAAGTTGACCAGGAAAAGCCCAACACTTGCCGACCACTAGGCTGTCACGAACGGCGAAAACGGCGGACAAGATGTCCTGGAGGTTCACTTCGCTCGTTCAAACAAGTTTGCTGCTTCTGGAAGCCGGAGTTGGAAAAGTGAAGATATTTAGCTCTCAGTCATAATATTCATCAAGGTTATGAATACCCACTGCTTAATTAAATACGTCTTTAGGTACTCCGAGAACCAGATGGTTCTACCTGATCGTGTTTTTGTCGTGTTAGTGGTTGTTACCTCTGTGTATTACCAGACACATCGTCAAGAACTTCGGTAATTGGGCTATCTTTTTGTAAACCATATCCAATAGTGATGCCCAGGGACTACATGAAGGTTTGATAATGCTAATTTTGAGCATGTGGTCGAATTCACTTTTCGCCGTTTTGAGGTTGTTGGGGGCTGGACGGAGGGCTTTGGATGCCACAGGCGGGCCTGTGATTGTGACATGATGCGTAACATTGCTGGTCATGTGCGGCAGATTGTACTCCGGTTATTGTAGCTCAGGATATTTCTCTAACACTGCCTGACAGGACGCGTCTCACGAGTGTTTTGTTTCTAACGGTGGCTAAACTCGGACCGCCGTCAATAGATAATTTTGTGTTGCTATCCATCAGTGGTCGAAGTCGAGCACCCGCGGGTAGATCGTAATGGTCCGGTAAATCTATGGCAATGATGGGCATAGAAACATCAGCTAGGAGGAAAATCCAGCGCATGAGTTTAGGCAAACCCAAGTTGAGATACGCATACCGTCTCCTGAATGTTGTGATCGTGTTGCCTGTAGCTGTTTGGGGAGTGAAGTATGGACCCTGGTGACGCTCCTTTGTCGATGCGGGAAGAACGCCAACTTCTCCGCCGGTGTCGATCAGGTAGCGAACTTTCTTTTTCATGTAGGCGACGTAAAGCGAACGGCTGTTTCCACCGGCTAAGGTTGCTGTGAACGTTTGCCAGGTGGCAGTTTTCCATTTTGAAACTGTGTAGTTTCCGGCATTTTCTGACTTCGTCCCAGTAGGTATTGTGAAGCCGGCACCATTTAGGGTTTTCTACCCTGTTGTGTTCAGTTTTCGGACAACCGCGCGGGTTGCTGCAATGTGCTAGGATGCGTTTTTGTGATACCTTACGTAACCTAGGGCTCTGAGGTCGTAGCAACTGTTTAACAGAGTTACACAGCTTGGTTACTTCTAAGTCCTGACTCTCAGGTTTTCCGCAGACGAAATATACGTTGGAGACGGGACTGCTGGAGATTTCCCCTGTTTTATCCGCTGAGGCTGCCAGGTCATCGAGTGGAAACGACTGAAGTGTTTGAAGTGGTTGTGGTAGTTTCAAGAGAAACGTTTCTCGGGAAAGGCCATCGTTGAACTTTCATGGGCCCATAACTTCTCGGATGAGTGTGAGTATTCCAGTGTTTGAGTTGCTGCCTAGCTCGATGTTACGAAGCGGTTCGTTTAGGTGTTGGCGAACTGCGAGATCACTCTTCTTCAGGAGTGCAGCTTTCAGAAGCGCATAGGGATCACTTATTTCATGGCTAGGCATATGCGCTATAGAGTTTTTTATTTAAATCCAACTGTGGTTAACGTATAACAGTAAGACATCGAGAATGTGAATCTGTGAATGCCTGTTCGCAAAAATCTGCCTTGGTGTACAAAAACCATGTTTCTGCATTGTCTGGCCAGTATGGCATGAGCTGGATATTGTTTGTTGTCAGTTTAGTGTGGATAACCTTCGGAGTATGGTCGGACATGGAAAATTATATATGGATACATAAAGTTTGCCAAAATGAAAACGACGTAAAAGTTTAAGGAGCTGGTTCACCAACTTAGGAATCGCCCTGGTGCGAGCTTGGCAGATGCAGAGGACAACTACTAATTAGTCGTACTTGCTATATACCCATGAATACAAAAACAAGGAAGAAGACAATTGTGTAGCTGGAGGGGATAATCTATTTGCTAGGTTGTGCCAAGAAACCGATGCGTTCCAACTGACTGGCTAGAGGGTTGATTGCGAGCAGTGCAGTGTAACACTACAGCAGGCCAAATGGCGCCGATGCTTGATCGTGTGCCTGCAGCCTAACGAGTCCAGTCAAACTATAAAGGTCAGCATCTATATTGAATCTCGGTTATTGAATCTAGAGAAGTGCGTGACGCTACAACATCCTGGATACTGACTTAAACACTGTTCATCGAATTCTTTTACCTCCTCCAGAAATGATCAGCTGATGGATCATCAAGAACGACAAATGCCGAGGTCGAGTCATCTTCGATTGGAGGTACGGTTGTCTACTGAGCAGTCGACGACTGTAATTGGTCACGCGAACAAGTGACAGCAGCTCTTTTGGCAAGTGTATTCAGAAGAAAGCTGTATATTCATAGAGATACTTAATGCAAGAATGAACACAGGATGATAGCCTTCTAGCCTTTCTTGTAAAGACTGCCCATAGTGAGTATTGAACAATTGGTTGTGCTTCTTGCTTTTATGAGCCATTTTTGAAAGCTTTTAATGTCTACAGATTTGTCGGATGTTGCTGTATTTAGCCACGACAATTGCATTGTTTTATCCCAGTTAGATAGGTGAGCAACAGTAACCGAATTTTGTTCCTTAAGTTCATTTACTACTTCGAGTCACTGAAGTTTTAAGGACTTCTCAAACTAATGTGTGTCTGCTCAGTCAAATACGAATGCTGAAATAATGCGTGCGAATGCGGAAATAATGCAAGTCAATGCATTAATTAGGAATGCTGAAATAATGTTGAAATGTGATTTTTAAACAGAGCTTTCCGGACTGCCTGCATAATTTGGGCACATGCAGAATTATATAAGCGTCCATGTGTAAACTAAGCCTTATTTATGCACAGTTCCCGCCGTATTTCAGCACTGTCTGCATTAATACAGGGAAATTTTTGGAAACAATTCTTATCTCTTACATCTTGCTTGCAATTATAACGCCATCAACCCCATTATTTCCGCAGTATGGTTTGACTGGGATGTTTTTCATTATTGGCCATGTTTTTTCATTTTTGTAGTACATATATTTCTGTCCAGGTCTAGTTTCGTCTACAAATCTTTGGTACACATGACAGCACAGCAATGCCTTCGACTTGCAACTGGTCCTTTTACAACTTCATTCTCCATATTGCTTTCGGTTATGCTTTTGTCAAGTAAACTGTCCTGTAAACTATTCCAGCTATAGACGGTTTCATTATGTTAGTGCTTGTCGTTTGGCAGCCGAACTGAAGGATGTCAGGGTAGATGGCATAGTCGTGTCATTGGATAGCGAACAATTTCACTGATCACGTTTTTTCGAATCTCAGAATCTACTAAAGACTTGAAACCTAGAAGCCAGCGCAAAGAAATCAGTTAGTTTACACTAGCTTGTACGAGGATACGGGATATTAGACTAATTTGTAACCGTATATGAGTGAGATAAGAACAAGAATCGGAAAAGCAATACGTTACACCTTTTTGTTATGCTGTTCTCTCATCATAAGCTTTGGACCTGCGATATTAAACCAAAATGTTTACAAGAGAAATAGTTTATTCTATGTAAGGGAATTAAGCGTGCTAAAACACGACCATTCTACATAGTCGAGACAAGGTATCCAGAAAAAGTGAGTTGTCTTAGAGTAGTACTTTCGCATTCTTTGCAACATGAAGTTGAAGAAAGTCTTCACACTTTAAATAAGGGGTTATGTTGGGAAGTCAGAAAAGTATATTTTCCAGGAGTAGGGATAGTAGGTAAGTACCTTGTCAGGTGATAATTAACTAGCTAATTGTGTAAGAATATATGATGGGCTGGGTGAAGAAACAAGGATTTTATTTAAACAGACTATTTTAGTTGAGTATTGTGTGATGGAATAGGAAAAAGTTAAAAATTGTCACCAGGAAAGCTGTCAGTTGCTTCCTCTCGTGCGCAAATCAGGTTTCAAACATTTAATAGCTGTAATGGCAATTTCAGAAAGATATTGACTACTTTGTTTTCCAGTGATGGTGTCCACATCATGTCCTGTATGAGCAAAATACTGAGTGATTAGTTTTCTACATGCTTGTTCTTCAGACTAGTACTTGCCAAAAAAACTACGGTTTGGTTTGTTGCCTATTTCTGCAAACATACAAGTTTGAATGTACAGTTAAAGCTAAAAAGAAAACTGTCCCCCTCCAACCTTCCTTTCTCTGTTGGGATTTATAAAGGGAGTTATGTTTATGAAGCTTCCTAAACGACTCCATCTTTGCTATATATATATATATATATATATATATATATATATATATATATGTATATATATATATATACATGTATATATATATATATATATATATATATATATATGGCATTTTTGATCCATGTGGTGCCAGGCCTGTGGTACTAGTTGAAAGAAATAACATTGAGTGCGGTTAGTCATTCGTGTTCAGATAGTTTAAATACACTGATGAACTTCCGCATGCTTCAGGTATATGAACCGCGATGTGTTCAGATACATATCTTTGCTCCTGTTTAGAATAAATCTTCAGTGTCAGTTGGGAACTTTTTTTTGCGTACAAATTGAATCAACCAGCTTCCTGTTAAGCGTACAAGAGTCGCAGCTCAGGAACTTCAGTACCTAATATTTTGCACCCAACATAAAAATAGAATTTTCTTTTGAAACAGTTGTGCATAAGTCATCCTTAACCATCTCGATATAAAAATTCAGAATGGGAAGTTGGTACGTCCATTAAAGTATGGTACTTATATGTACTTAGTGGTAGATAAAGTAATATGAAGAGTTGAGGTAATCGTTTTCGTTATTCTGTATTGTCCAATTAACCCTCGGATAACATTTTATCATAGGTTATATCGTCTTGATATGACTATAGACAATAGATTGTGTCCGAAATATAATCCAGCAAATACTGTTCCACTATGTGATATATCTAATAAGTTGACTGAAATGGAATTACATCCCACCGCAGCTCTCAAGTTTTGCTATTATATTGATGTGTCTAAAATAAGTTTCTGACTAGCTATGGTAGAGGGTTTGGTAACCAGAAGTGGTTGTAAAGTAGGTAACTGTCTATACCTGTTTTTATTTATGGAACTACTAGCCGTTTACTTGGATATGACAGGAGACCAATATCATCGAGCCTTGAGTTTACTACACATCAGCCGCGTTTAACTCCAAATGAACTGCCTGGTGTAAACTAAACTATAAGGTTCACTCCTGATGCAGACCTCAAAACGTTTGTTGTAGAAGTGATGACCACGGAGTTATGCAACCAATACAGTATGAAAATACCATGTTCATAAAGCACTTTGTTGAAGGAGAACGATTAGAGAAAAAAAATCCAGATATAGCTGTCTAAACTGTTAGTCTGCCGGTTTTTTGAGCCTATTTCACTAAACTCAAGTCTTTGCTACAGGTACTTCATTTATCGTTGTACTCTAGTTGAGTTTGGATGGTATTTTTATAGCATTTACGTAAGTGGTGCTGGGTATGTAGTTGAGTTAGGTTTCTGTTTCTGTGATGTTTTTCTGCACAGTATGGGACTTGATAGACATCATTTACTGGCTTTTATGCAGTTTATTTTGGTAGGTGATTTGCGAATTTATATGGAGAATCATTTAATGTGGTTGAGTAAACAAAAGCAGGATATGTAGTATGAAGCATAGTTTTGTAACCATTAGATGTATTCTTTGGTAGGTTCATAGTGCTTTTATTAAAGCTGACGTTCAAAAGTTTGTTTTGCAGGATGTGCAGTTTTCCTGAAAGTTGCTTGAAACTCCTGCACAAACGATATAGGTGTTTGCTTTTCCATCACGATAAGAAGTGGATTTGTTTGTTGTGTGTATTCATATAACACCTTTGGTGCATAAAAAAAGATGGTCATAGATCTAAAATGAACTGTATTATCTATCATTTGCAATACCGATTGGTATTTTGCAAAACATACTTGACAATACGAAATAGGTAACGTGATTTTGTAGATTTGTAGATAAAATACTGTAGTCGTAAAGTTAATAGAAATTAAGTATTTATTTGAGTAAGACAATTCATGTCCATGTGCAGCTAATTGTATTTTACACTTAGTACCCACATCTAGCGGTTTGTATAGATGGAAGTTCAGTTTAATTAGTTTCTTTTAAATGGGAATGAAAAGCTATTCCAGTTTGTTTTTAGCAGATATGAATTCATCTTTATTGTAGCTATGATTGTTGCTTATTTTAAACAAAGTTGGTACAAGGTACAGATGAAGTATGTGTATCGTAACGAGTTATATGCTGTTACATTTTAGTAGACCATATACTGATAGGAATTTTCAGTTGACACTATGAGTTGAATCAAATTTTGATACTCTCATTAACTTAGTAGCCTCGACCATCTCAGCAATGAAGTACATCTTTATGCACTCAATGATGGACCACAAGTTTTGTCTGAGGACTGATGATACTGCCTTGTTGCACACACCTCAGTGAGTAGTGCAAGCTTCAAATCCGTGACCAGCTAGTTGAGTCAGTCGCCTAAAGCAATGAACTGTAAATCCTCAGTGATAAACACTAACGAGAAAAAGTACGATGAAATGAACTTTGTGTTTATACTTCCACTCAGTTACAAACCTATGAAAAATGACAAGCGAATAAAAGTGGGTAATTGTCGATACTGTTTATTAATATGTGGGGTTGAGGTATAATCACTAAGTAGATGATATAATGAGGTTAAGGTAATCATAGGAAAATTCATTGAAAGTATTTCTACACATCCGAAACTGTCTAAAACTAGTGACCCTAGTTTAGGCAGATACAGGCTGCTTTTTATGAGGTCATCGGTTTTCTTTTGATATCAATATCCCTAAGTCGCTCTTTGGCAGCACCCAAAAAGCAAATATAAGGTTTTTAAAGTAACGGGCTATACGAATAACAAGAATGTGAATATACAAGGAAGTTACTTCAGATTTCAGGCAAAAAATATTGGTGTCTGTGAGACTGATTAGTTTTGAGCAGCCCCAGAGTCTCCCACCATTTGTTTTTCCCACCTCGCTGTTTCAAGCGCATAGTTTTTCAACCAGCAGATCACAGGTCAGAACTCTGTCTTCAGTTAACGAAGTGTGGATAGTCAGGTTATCCAGACTTGTATATGACCACTAGTTTGCCTTGTTTGTAAGTTGTTACGAGTCCCAGTCATCGTAGCACTAAGATAGAAAAAAAAGTCAATGTGTTTTGGCTAAGTTGATATGATATTCAGCGCTGCGCTACATTTAAAGCCAGCAGTTTGGGTTTTAACTTACCGTTCTCATTGTTGCGAGAAAATGGGTCGACTATATAATCAAGTTATTGAAATCGGTATAAGAGGTAGGTTAATCCCAAACATTAAGATGTGCGAAACTACTACTGCATTATCAAACTGGTTTTAATTGTAATTTCTTACTAGATTAGTTTGTTCAGTATACCAGTGATACAATTTTATTAATTATTATTCGAATTGTGTCGACATATGTCATTCAATCTTTCGGAGGTCGTAGAATCTCTCAAGTTCACATCAGGTTTATATCGTCTGTAGTAATCTCTTGACAAATGAGTTCCTTCGTAGGTTGACTGTACCAACGATAAGTATAAGAGACCATTTACCGATCGTGTACGATAGTTTACTTTAGTTTGCACTTTCATCTAATATGCTAACAATCCCTTGGTTAGCCCTGTCGTCGAACTGAATCAAATGGAATCTACTCAGCGACCTTGTGCACATTCGTGCAGTGAGTCACACCTATTCTCTGAGGGTTAGTAATACTACATGACTGCCCAAACCTGGGTAGGTGGAGCGGTCCTCGAACCCGTCACCCACTAGTTGGAAGTCAACTTCCTAAACCATTGTTCCACGACTCAATTAGTCTTGTAGTGATAGAATTCATCCTATTTTATTTAATAAAGGTTTCCAGAAGCTACTTTCTGCTATTTGTTTCTGTGTATCCTGACTTGATATATTTTTCTATGTCGTGTTACTGTCGCAGAATGTTACCAGGTGTTACGCATTGCAATGGAGTGATCTGGTGTTTGCCTTCTGCTTGCATGGTAACACTGACTAAAGACTTAATAACGAAAAAATCATATTTACCTAGAACTACTAGATGACTAAGTTTCCAAGCTGTTCAGAAGTTTCCACCTCTTTTGCTGTCGTATAAGTAGTGGTTAGCAGTTCTCTGTTTAATTTTCATTATTTACTATAAGCATTGTATGTTGATATTTTAACGTATAATCTCATTTTAGCTTGGAATTTGGTGTTTTCAAACTCGACGCTTCCGAGTCACACGAACGTCGCAAACTACTAGAAAAGGTGACTAACTGTTTTTAACCGGTACATTTCTGAATAGGCAGTCGACTATTTTGATGGTATAATCTCTCAGACTGTGCTAGAGATTGAAGAAGAACGTGCCGTAGAGGAAAGTGAAACCCTTACTAAAGTTGAAGCAGGTATCTTAGAGGGGAATTCAAACGCAGTACGATACAAGATATATGAAAAGTATGCAGCACGTCTTGAAAAGCTTATTGAACCACACATTTATCTGTATCTTGGACATTTCCAGCTCTTACTTAATCGCTTTGATGATGCACTGTCTGCTTATCTTAAGTTTGAATCCCTTTGTCCAAAACAATCTTCAGTCAATTGTGCCTTTCTTTATGGCTTAGGCCTATGTTGTTTCCGTTTCAACGCCTTCAGCAGGTACGTTATACTTTCAAGCATAATTTACGGTTGTAGGACTATTAAACTTTTCCAACAAATTTTATATCTTGAACCTTGGTTTCCAAAGTGCAAAGAGATACATATTCGTCTTGGTTATATTTATAAAGTTCAGAACAATTTTGAGCGGAGCTTAAGACACTTCCGACAAGCGCTAAACGATTCTACACCTGGCACATTTAGCCGAGTTGAATGTTAGTTTATTATATTACTAACCAACAAAACTGTAGTAAAGTTCCATATAGCACATTTGTTTGAGGTTTGTGGTAACCTAAACAAGCAAAAACCGAATACTTCCAATTGTTAGATACTGAGAAAAGTGGTGCTCCGTCACACATTCGACATCTGTGTCTGCGACAGTTAGGTATGTTATTTTAGCTACTAATTCTTTCATTTTATATTTATAGCACTCTGTGTTTACCTTTCGAGTACAATCTTGTTTAGTATGTTTTAAAAGCTGTTAGGGCTAAGATGCTCAATGGTTTACTGTTTCTGTTGGTAGCACAAAGCGTAAACTAATTTGTCTTGTTTTCTAAGTAATAGAACAAAATGTTGAACAATAGACTTGCCGTAGCTGATTAGAACGACCTTTATTTGGTAGGTATTGTATATCAACCAAGGCGTTTTAAAAGTTTTAGATTCATGATTGCCAGTGGCTATAATATTTTGTTGTTCTCAGTGGTATTGCCTGAAATCTATCACTAGCGTGTATATATATATATATATATATATATATATATATATATATATATATATAACCCGACCGATAGCTGCTACCTTGACGTGGTGGTCGGGCTTGCATATCACAATGACCCAACGAGCTATGCTGGTGGAACGCTTGTTCCCTCGAGGTCCTACCATACCAGAAAGGTCTGTTGGGTAGTGGTTAGACGAAAAGCAGTTACCGTTATAGTGTAAATTGCTACACTATGATGGGGGTCTGAGGGCGAAGTCGTACTGCTGCTAGCTGGATGGGGTGTGACAGCAGTAAGGTGTTTCCCTTGGATGACCAGCAGTGCCAAGCTGATGCTGCCTTCTCAGTGGAAAGGGGGGTTAGAAAAGGTCGGCCCCAAAAATAACACACTCCACCACGCCCCACGGTCTGCCGGGCCGGCGGTGTTGGTTCACTTGTCGTTTCCTTTCGCTCATCCGGCCCCAAAAATACAAAAATTCAAAATAATCATACTCAAAAGGCTGGGTGTGACAGGCCTCAAGCAGATGTCCGATGGGCTCTGCGGTCACACAAATCTCTTTCAGGTACCTTAAGAAGAAATAGCCTTCCACGGTGTGGGCAGCCGGGAAGTGTCAACCGCCCTCACAACTCTGTCAGCACCCAAGTTTCTTCTGACTGCTATCCTCCTCCTCCATCATTACCTTCTAATCTTCCTTCACGTCTCTTAATTAATGATGCTGCATCATCTTCAATTTCTCCTACCTCTGCAGCCTTCGACAACGATCTGAGTCCACAGAACAGCGTCCCTGGTCTCCTTAAACCACGCTCCAAATTACATATTGGAGCCTTCAATGTCCGCACCCTCCGTCAAATTGGCCAACAGGCTTCGTTGGCAAAGACTCTAGCAACTCGGGCATGGATGTGTGCTGTGTTTGTGAGACACGCATACAGGACCCAAGTGTGGTTATTCACCTGACCTCTCCTGACCAATCTGGTGAATCTGCAAAATTCACCCTTCGAGTTTCTGGAGATTCGATAGCTAGCTCTCGTGGTCTTGCAGGTGTAGGTATAGCATTAAGCACCAGGGCAGAAAACTCACTACTAGACTGGATCCCAGTTGATAGTCGCCTCTGCGCTATGAGGCTGAACGGCACAGTGAGAACTAAAAGGAATAGTGAGACTCGCCGTTGTCTCTTTGTAATCTCTGCTTACGCACCCACTGACTGTAGTTCGGATGAAGTGAAGGACGAGTTCTACCATAAACTGTCTAACCTCCTCTCGAAAGCCAAACGTTCGGACGTAGTGGTTGTTGCAGGTGACCTCAACGCACAGGTGGGTAGACTGAGTGAGGCAGAAAGGCACTTAGGTGGCACTTTCGGAATCCCAGCTGAACGTACAGATAACGGTGATCGCCTATTACAACTATGCTCAGATAACCGCCTATTTTTAGCCAGCACAAATTTCAGACATAAAGAAAGGCACTGTCTGACCTGGCGTCCACCGAGCTCGACTCAGCGATGGACACAGATAGACCACATTGCTATTAGTCATCGCTGGAGAGGATCGGTGGAAGACTGCCGCTCCTTCTGGAGTACGTGTTTGGACAGCGATCATGCGTTGGTCCGAGCACGTATATGCCTGCGTCTCAATGGACGTAGAAAAAATTTGGCAACAAAACCACTACGAGTTCTGCTGGACAACGAAAACACCAAAGCCGTGTTCAGTGAGAAGTTGGCTAGGCAGTTATCGGAACAAAAGACTGTCACTCATCCAGAAGAAGCTTGGTGCCATCTTCAGTCTACTGTAAAAGCAGCACTGGAGACTGTAGCCGACTCCAAGATAATGGCTAAAAAGAGCCAGTGGATATCAGCAGCTTCTTCCAAACTAATGGATGCACGTGAATGCATCCCTGCAGGCTCTGAGTACAATGAAGAGCGAGCGCAACTTAAAAATAAACTGACGAAAAGTCTGCGCAACGATCGTGAACAGTGGTGGGCAGCAAAGGCTAAAGAGATGGAAAAGGCAGCGGCGATCGGTAACAGTAGACAGTTATTTAGACTTATTAAGGAGACTGGGGGGAAATGGTCAACAACAGTTAGTGAGGTTATAGCGGAGAAGGACGGATCGGCGATTCACTCGCAGGGAAGGCGACTGGGACGATGGGCAGAACACTTTGAGGAACAGTTTAACTGGCCTCCAGCCACCATTGCGCTGCCCGCTATCCAGTCGGACCCTGAATGGGACATAGAGACAGGTCCCCCAACACTAGAAGAAGTTGAGAAAGCGGTAGGTAGCCTGAAACGGGGAAGGGCAGCAGGACCAGACGGACTACCTGCTGAGGTATACAAGAATGGTGGTAGAGTTCTCTTAGTCAGGCTAACGGAAGTGTTAGCCAGTATATGGGAATCAAATACGATCCCCTCCGACTGGTCTAAGTCACTCATCATCCCAGTCTTCAAGAAAGGCGAGAAGTCCTCTTGTGATAACCACAGAGGAATCAGCCTGACAAACATAGTGTCTAAGATCCTAAGTTCTATAATTCTCCGACGCCTGAGTGGAGCTCGGGAACAGCAAGCCCGAGAAAACCAGGCAGGCTTTAGACCTGGCCGTGGATGTATCGACCAAATATTCACACTGCGCCAGGTCCTGGAACATAGGCATGCTTACAGACGCCCGACAATAGCTGTATTTCTCGACCTGAAGGCGGCATTTGACTCCGTTGATCGAGAAGTCTTATGGCAGTGTCTGTCACTGAAAGGCGTGCCTAGTAAGTACATCACCTTATTGAAAGCTCTCTACTCGAACACTTGTGGGCATGTTAGAGCCTATGGTGAGTTGTCCAGGGAGCTATACTCATCAAGTGGTGTCCGTCAAGGATGCCCACTATCCCCATTCTTATTTAATTTTATCATAGATATTCTTATGGAGGTTTCCCTCTCGTCACCTAATTACAAAGACGTTGACCGGATCACAGGTGAATTTTCCTTAGATCTAGAATATGCAGATGACATAGTCCTGTTAGGTGAAGACGCTGACAAGATGCAGAGTCTTCTGAACACTTTGAGTGGGAATTTGAGAATGTTTGGGATGCGATTTTCACCACCCAAATGCAAATTTTTGCTCCAGGACTGGTCTTCAGCGGTACCGCGGTTAACAATAGAGAGTGAAGTGGTTGAGTGTGTTGACCACTTCACTTACCTGGGAAGTAGGATCAACCCGGTGGGTTAGTTGCCGATGAGATTTCTGCACGGATACAAAAGGCTCGATTGGCTTTTGCCAATTTGCGCCACCTATGGCGCCGCCGTGATATTCGTTTGTCTATTAAGGGTCGCGTGTACTGCACAGCAGTCCGCTCTGTTCTACTGTATGGCTGTGAAACATGGCCATTGAAAGTGGAAGACATGAGAAGGTTACAGGTATTTGACCACCGTTGCCTTCGTAGTATAGGACGTATTCCGTGGTGTCACCATGTGAGTAATGCAGAAGTTAGGTGTAGAGTTTTAGGGAGAAGAGGTAAGTCAGTCGACGAGGTTGTGAACCTTCATCGACTGAGATGGTTGGGACACGTACTACGTATGCCTAGTCACCGATTGCCTCGTCACACAATGTTGGCTGAGGTGGGTTCAGGCTGGAAAAAGGCCCGAGGTGGCCAGACTAAAACATGGCACCAATGTATGAAGTCTCTGACTGTTGGTTTAAGCCATGTAGGACGATGCAGACTAGGTGGTTGGGGTCCACGGGACAAGAGGAACCAGTGGTTGGAGACCCTAGGTGATATGGCTCAGAACCGAAGTCAGTGGCGCAGATGTATACACACATTATCCTCATCTTAACAACGCTATACCGAATCTCACTATTTTGTCACTCCTCTTTCCTTTCTTCTCGTACTTTATATTTCTTTTGACTGCATTCACTTATCTTCATCCTTCACCTCACTACCTTTTTACTTGATGTGCTGATATGAGGTGTGGCAACTCGGACCGTTACGCAGTAATGCCTGGTCCTATGTTGATAATGATGATATATATATATATATATATATATATATATATATATATATATATATATATATATATATATATATATAAGTTCTACACATTCCACCTTTACACCATTTTCTATCATTACAAGTCTGTTGATAAAATTTTGTAACATTAAATCAGGTTAAAACATGTCTTGTTACTACAAGTGGGTGATATACATAATGAACGCTTGCTGACCATACACAACTGGATATAATGTTGGTGCTTGTCTTATCTCATCGTTGATTGGACCGAATTGATCGATCTCTATTGGCGTATGGGCTCCTGCGCGAATGCCTCAATATTATTGCCTGTGTTTCACTTTTATATTTATGATGGTGACGGTAGCTAACGTGGCTCGGTGGTCTAGTGGATAACGCTCTGGCATTCGATGCGATCGGCCCGGAGCCGAGTCCCAGTGGGAACAACGTCACTCACTGAGAGTTAGGTACATCCAGCTGACGAGTCCCAAATAGGACGAGACGCGTGTCCTGGACTTCACTGCTGTCTAATATCCATCATGAATATAAAACTGGAAATAATTTTGTCTATTTTCGTAAGTGATCGCAAAATGTGATACGCTCATATTCTTCAACAATCAGTTGGTACTTAGGGGATAACGCTATCGAATCACAATATTTTAGCATCTAAATGACTCTACAGTATTTTGTTGGTAGAAGGTACGAATCTCACTTTAAGTTTAGGATCAGTTGCGTGGTTTGGTTCATTTCTCAGTGTTCTAGTTTTAAGTGACTAGCGTAAATATCGTACATATTTCGGTCGTTTAGACTTCATTGACTTACTACATAACTGGTTAGCCTAGGTTTGTTAGATTGGATCAATGTTCTAGTTTTGATGATGTCTGGCATTATAAGCAAAACTATATTCGAACAATGCAAGAAAAAGACATTTGCAGAATGAAATTAACTCATTTTGTTTCACGACCTTTCATCAGCTGCAAAGTCTACAATTGAAATGAAGGATTAGTAGTAATAATGACATAACATACTTAGAATATTATTGTTATTGCTTGTATGACACCGTCGTTGATTGGACCGAGTTGATCAGTCTCTGTTGGCGTATGGACTCCTATGAGGATGCCTCGATATTGCCTGTCTTTTAACTATGTATGGTAATGATGGGCAGTGGCTAGCAGTGGAATCCAGGATGCGCATTTCGTCCTATTTGGGACTCATTATTATACATAGTTAAAAGACAGGCAATATCGAGGCATCCTCATAGGAGTCCATATGCCAACAGAGACTGATCGATTCGGTCCAATCAACCACGGTATCGTACAAGCAATAACACTAAACCTATACCCGTCGCACAAAAAGTGGCTATCGTGGCTCGGTGGTGTACTGGATACCGCTCTGGCGTTTGAAGCGATCGCTCCCGGGTCCGAATCCCGGTGGGAACAACATCACTCACTAAGAGGCGGGTTAATCCAGTTGACGAGTCCCAAATAGGATGAAATTCGCATCCTGGATTCCACTGCTAGCCACTTCCCATCATTACTATACATACTTCAAATATGTAGAAATCCAGGATTAACAATAAGCTATTGAGTCGAAGAAACACAGGATTAGTAACTACAAATCCTAGTCAAAATCGATGGCAATTTTTGGAGCTTTGGAGAGGGGGAGATAACAAACAGACAGGAGTGTGAAAGAGCTGGTAAGTTGAGTAACTACATGAAAGAACCGGAAAAAAAACGTTAGGTTGATTGATTAACAGTCAGTAAGTAATTGATGAGATAATTCAATCAGTAGCATGAAAACTATATGCATACATATGAAAAACGTTTTGTACAGTTACCAAGGTAAAACAAGGTTGATTACAATCTGTTTTTGAGTACGTAGGTCAGGTTAAAAATGTTTGGTAGTGAGAGTGGTATGCTGCAGAGTTGTGAGAACGAACGAAAATTCTTAGCGATTGATAGTCAAAGATTGAGACGATTCAACCCGAGTGATTCGCAAAAAGGAATCGAAAGACTGAAAATCAGATGAGTTCATAGTATCTCGGATTAAAAACGTTTATGAGTGAAAACTGACCCTGTTTATAGCCTTACAGCAACCTTGAAAGATAAGGAATACTTAGTACATTTAAAGAGGCAGGAGCCAATCAGAACATTAGCGGGTCATACGAAACGTGCGGGAAAACAGCGTGAATAAACAAGTTCAAATCTTTATAAAAACTGTAAGTATGGAATATAAGGGATGTAGACATCCCTAACAGAGAGCTTCCGCAAACCGTGATAAACATTGGGTTCTTTGTTTGTTGATTATCCTGAAGGATTGAGAAACATCTGTTTAATGTCCTGTTTCCATTAAGTGCTTGGCTATTGTGCTGGTGAAGACCCTGTTACCTTTCACGTAGATTTTCCTGAATATGTTCATGAAATCGAATGGCTGCCCTTCTTTCGCTCCTTCCCATGTACCTGTCCCCCCCCCCAAGCACAAGTGAATTTCTCTACACATTTGGCGATGATGTGAGCTGGGTATTTGTCTACTTTCAACTGTGTTATTGAGCATACTATATTGTAAACTGAAATCAGTCTGGCAGCAGGGAAGTTTCTTCTCAATGCAGCTTTTATTCTTCTGTCCGTTCTTTCAGATGTCTCATCATCTGTGAATGCTAGACAAAGGAGATTGGAGACTCTAGATGATATGGCTCAGAACCGGCGTCAGTGGCGGAGATGTATACATACATTATCCTCATCTTAACGACGCTATACCGAATCTCACCACTTTCTAATTTTTCCTTTCTCTCTTTTCGTACTTTATGTTTCTTTTGACAGAGTTTTCTTTTCTTCATCTTGCACTTCACTACCTTTTTACTTGATGTACTGATATGAGCTGTGACAACTCGGACCGTTACACAGTAATGTCTGGTCCTATGTTGATATTCATGATGATGAGACGAAGGAAAACAGGTTTCTTCTCAACAGTTGTTTGTTTGGGTCTCAATAAATGCTTTTCCATGCTTCATGATTAGTTTCTTCGGATAATCATTAGCTATAAAAGCCTTCTCAATGATACGGAATTCTTCTTCCTGTTTGTCTTTTAAGCATAGCATTCTTATTCTAGTGAAGAGCATCCTGAATAAACCATGCTTATAGGTGACAGGACAGAAGCTGTTGTAATGAAGGCACTGACCAATCCACGTGTCTTTTCTGTGGATTGTTTCCTCATCATCATTATCTCTTCATCAATTACTTACTGACTGTTAATCATTCAACCTAACGTTTTTTTTCCGGTTCTTTCATGTAGTTACTCAACTTACCAGCTCTTTCACACTCCTGTCTGTTTGTTATCTCCCCCTCTCCAAAGCTCCAAAAATTGCCATCGATTTTGACTAGGATTTGTAGTTACTAATCCTGTGTTTCTTCGACTCAATAGCTTATTGTTAATCCTGGATTTCTACATATTTGAAGTATGTTATGTCATTATCACTACTAATCCTTCATTTCAATTGTAGACTTTGCAGCTGATGAAAGGCCGTGAAACAAAATGAGTTAATTTTATTCTGCAAGTATCTTTGTTCTTGTACTGTTCAGTTTTACCAAGTGAATTCAATGCATGGCTTTTCTGAAAATTGTATTCATTTTATGTAGGGATAATTGAAGTGATGTATTGTCTCAGTTTGTGAACATGAAATATAATACTTGCGTTTCAATGTAATGTATGATGATTTTTACTTTAATTTTAGCTTGGCTTCATCACACAGGAGCTTTCGGAGCGAAAGCTGAATCACCTAATGAGAAGAGTTTAGACGTTCAGTGGCTGCAGAGTGCTCTAGAATTAGATAACTCAGATGGTAAGACGTGGTACCTACTAGGTCGTTGCCAGGCCACCCTAAATCATGTTCAAGAGGCTTTCGCTGCTTACAGAAGTTCTATAGACAGAACGGAGGCCAGTGCTGATACCTGGTTTGTTTCCTAAAATCATTTCCTTGCTTTAAACATTGGGTTTTTTCATTGTAATCTAATTTTCTCTTGCAGATCCACGATTAGTCGTTTCCAGAGTTTCAAATCATAATTGTTTACTTACTATAAATTTAGTTTTGAACCCATGGAACGTTCCTCTCCGTAATTCATAAGATATTATCATAATTGTGCTATATTCAGTTATACATATTCTTGTTTAGAAAAAATTGACCGACTACCATCTGGAGAAAAAAATAATCAATCACATTTTTAACTATTTTCCACTGTACATATGATTCTCATATCTATGAATATTGAAAATTAATATTTTCGTGTTTTTCAATGTACTGGGGCATTTAGACTTCAATTTTCAGCTGTAGAAGCACAGGAATAAAACGTCATTCAGACTTGTTAACATCAGAACATTTATTGTTTCAAGGCTGTTTAAATTGATTGGGACTCTATTATCTATTGAAATAAAAGGTTTAGTGTAACGATAATGGCCTGAAATGATTACAGTGATCTAAGTACGTTAATCGTGAGCTTTAGTATATAAAGTGACAAGTCTCTGCATAAGTGTTACTGTAAATATTGAAATTTACTTTGTGAAATGTCCGTTTTAATTGTTCTTCTCTCTACAGGTTTCTGATTTTTAAGGGAATTAACCCTACCGAACCGCTTTCCAAAATATTTGGTGTAATTTAAGCTTTCTTATTACATTTATGCTGAGCATTACTCATAGAATTTGGCCCATTGATCTCATGCCTGAATACAATAGAAAATTCCAAAATGCTCTGTGTATAAGTGTGCATTTGTTGTGACGATGAATTTTCTATGGTAGCAACTCCGTTAGATTTATTATTTTGGTGCATTCCTTTATGAAAGTTTTTTGAGTTTTTTTGCACATGACCCAAGCCATTTATCATAAAGTTGTAGCTGAGCAAACTAAAGCCACGCAGAAAGATTTTATACTTGTCCATCATCATTCTTAGTAATGATCCTGTGATCCGCATAAGAGTTCATCTACCAACAGAGGTCGAGCAATTCAACCCAGTATAGCAATGGGAAATTACAAGTATCAGTAAACAGAAACTGACAGCCGTTGCACAAGTGGTGATTTTGTACCCCAGTGGCCTAGTGGATGACGTTTCGACGTTTGGAGCGATAGCTAGTGGATCCGAGTCCTAATTGAAGCAACATTACTCACTGGGGTGCAGGCACATTTGGTTGGCTAGTCCCAAAGAGGATGAAACGCGCGTCCTGGATTTCACTGCTGGATATCAAGTAGACTACAATGTAAGATGATCTTTGTTTTCAATTGCGTAAGACAAGCAAAATATGTGCAACTGCAGGTAATGTTGGAATGTCTGACTCTACCTAAATATTCATTAAGAACACTTTACACTGTGTATTTTTTTCTATAGACTAATCTACAGTAGCAAAATCCAATGTCTAAAGCATCTAAGTTTTGCTAACTTTATTGTAAGCATAGAACTTGGCCATTGTGGTGGAGTCGAATTCTGTATTGGGTTAGTTTATTTTATATAACATACCGTTATACATTGGTTGATTGTCATGATGCTTGTAAGCAATAAACTGTATTTGAGACATCATCTTCCGGTAACTAGTACTGTATCACTGTATTCTATATCAAATAGATTGAGACAGTATGGAATTACACTCTGTCGCATTGCCAAAGTTCTATACTTACATTGTTATGAAACTTTTGCAATTTAATTGTACATAGTGGATTGTATTTGTAATGGTTTCGAACCAAACCTTACAAAATGTTCCTACATTATCTTACAACTATTAAATAAAGGATGGATTGTTTAAAGAATGTAAAGGATGTTGTTTTTAACCTTCAGGCAAAAATATGAGGAGGGAAGCTTTGAAGAAAGCATAAACACCCATGTTCTTGATAGTGTCAAAAAGTGTTCTGGGTGATGCATGCTTTCATTGAGACACTTATTTTGTTTGATATTACACATTAGTGCAATGTAGTCTGTTTTTATAGTAGATATTAGCCATTAAAGCTTCCTAGAATATGTCTCTGTTGGAATATATTTGTGAAGTACTGTTTAAAACTCACTTTTGGGTTAGATTTCATGTACTCTTCCACTCACTTTTTACGCAACTCTGCACCTAATTTCGCCTCACATATTTGGCCCTTTTTCACCGTATGTAAAATCCAGTGTTTCATTTGGAGAAGGAATGACTCCAATTCTCGACTTTTTTTCGTGTTGGCAGAAGTGTATATATATATATATATATATATATATATATATATATATATATATATATATATATATATATGATTAGTCTTCTTTTCGTTTTAGTGTTTTTTATACTTCTCAAGACGTCGAAAACTTGCCTATCAAAATAAACTATTTAAACTGTGCATGTTTATCTTCTGAGTTATTATTAAACTTTTGCAAATGAATGAATATCCAGTGATTTTAAAAATATAAAATTTTTTTATTTAGGTGTTCCATTGGTGTGCTGTACCAAGAGCAAAGTCAGCCAATGGACGCCCTTCAAGCCTATTTCTGTGCTGTACAACTTGATAAATGTCATGTTGCAACTTGGGCTAATCTCGGCACATTGTACGAAAGTATGCAACAGTACAAAGAAGCTTTAAAATGTTATCAAAATGCAGTAAATGCTGACAAAAATAATGAGGTTTGTACCTGCTGTGTCATTTGTTGATTTATGCTCTCAGCCTCAAATTTGTCTTACTGTAAATTAAGTCTTTGTAATTTAGCAGTTTTATTCGCACCACTGAATATGCTTTCAATTCTACTACTAGTATTCACTGTATATTCTTGTAGGTATTCAATATGGGACAAAACGGTCTCCTATACAGTTTTATCACATACGTAATCGTCTGTGTTAAATCTAAGATCCCGCACATTAAGATGTGACACCAGTTCATAAAGCTATCGAATGCTGTTCTTCTGTAGAGAAGTCATCAGTCTTTATTACCAATGGCAACTATTGATTTTAATATTCTGTTTTCCTTACATCATTTCACTATTTTCTTAAACACCCGCGGAGTAGGAAAGTTCTTATCTGTTGATTCCAACGAAGATTTTTCTTCTTTATTGACAAATAAATGAACAAAATAGTTTTGGTTTATTTCTTCGTGTAGAGAAACTGATCTGTTTAAATTTATCAGTTTCAGTCATTTTTAATCAGAGATGACTCAGAAAAGCAGCATTTCGTACTGCCTATTTCCATTCGTATTCAATTTTACCAGATATTCTTATTGAGGTCTCCCTCTAGTTACCTGACTACACAAAGACTAACGTAATCGCGGGAGGATTTTCGTTAGACCTAGAATACGCAGATGATATAATTTTTCTAGAGGAAAACACTGACAAGATGCAGAGTCTTTTGGACACTTTAGTGGCAATTTGAGAATGTTTGGTATGTGGTCCTTACCACCCAAATGCAAATTCTTGCTCCAGGATTGGTCTTCAGCGGTGCTACGGTTAACAATAGAGTGTGAAGTGGTTGAGTGTGTTGACCACTTCACTTACCTGGGAAGTAGGATCAACCCCGCTCTGGTGGCTCAGTGGCCGATGAAATCTCTGAAAGGATACAAAAGGCTCGGTTGGCTGTCGCCAACCTATGCCACCTATGGCGCCGCCGTGATATCCGTTTGTCTATTAAGGATCGCGTGCACTGCACAGCAGTCCGGTCTGTTCTACTGTATAGCTGTGAAGCATGGCCATTGAAGGTGGAAGACATGAGAAAGCTTCAAGTGTTTGACCACCTTTGCCTTTGTAGCATAGGCCGTATTCCGTGGTGTCACCACATGAGTACCGAAGAAGTCAGGCGTAGAGTTCTAGGGAGAAGAGGTACGTCAGATGATGTTGTTGTGAACCTTCATCGACTGAGATGGTTGGACACGTGTTACGTGTGCCTCGTCACACAATGTTGACCGAAGTAGGTCTAGGCTGGAAAAAGGCCCGAAGTGGCCAGACTAAAACATGACATCAGTGTATGATGGTTTGAGCCAAGTGGGGCGATGTAGACTAGGTGGGTGGGGTCGTCGGTACAAGAGGAACCAGTGGTTGGAGACTTTAGGTGATATGGCTCAGAACCTATGTCAGTGGCGCAGATGTATACATACATTATCCTCATCTTAACGACGCTATACCGAATCTCACCACTTTCTAATTTTTCCTTTCTCTCTTTTCGTACTTTATGTTTCTTTTGACAGAGTTTTCTTTTCTTCATCTTGCACTTCACTACCTTTTTACTTGATGTACTGATATGAGCTGTGACAACTCGGACCGTTACACAGTAATGTCTGGTCCTATGTTGATATTCATGATGATTACCTAAATAACTAAACTTAAGAACTTAAATAATCATTCGTGAGTATAACAGATCAATATAGGAGTAAAGCCTAGGCACTGTGGTAGATTGTAATTCCATTTTGTTCTCTGTGTTAGAAATGTCACGCAGTGAAATGATACAGTAAATTATACTGTTTCCCTGTGTGACATTTCTGATAAACGGACTAGAATAGAGCAGTGACATATCTTTTTCTATGAAATACATAAAGTCACTTACAAGGAGGATTATTCATATTCTGAACGTTAATAACCATCCTCTGCTACAGCTAAATTTATGTTCTTTAGTAGCCGCCTATTAATATGTATTTAACTGATGGATCTATTGTACTCTTCGGTTATTGAAAACCCTTGATGATATATTTATTGTTGCGATAGTAAAATGGTTCAATTTTTGGCTATAAAGTCATGGATTCAAGTCTCGCTTCACTTACTTTACTTTGGCAAATTAATGAGTATTTTCGACACTTACAAGGTATTTTTGTTTTACGCAGACTACCGTAGACTCTGGGAAGGTTCTACTGGTGACATTCATCAAGAGTTTCCTCCCTAACATTCTTCTATGGATTTCATTACATGCCTATTTTCAAAAATTTTCACCCACTTAAAAACTAGTCTTGTTTCTGATGAGGTTTATATAAGCTTTCCTATGGTATTGGAAGCAGTAGGTGCTGGATTCAAGTCTGGATGGTAACGTCATCCCTCACAGGGGTATGGGTACATCCAGCTGACAATTCCTAAGTAGAACGGAACGTGCTTCCTGAACTCCACTGGTAGCCAAGGAACTACACGTTTCTACCAGTTGAAACTGAGATTCTGAAACTGATTGGTTTTCCACTATTTCGCATACCTAGGTAGAGTAGATGGGTTTGATACTCAGGTCACAAGTGAAATCCCTCCGAAAACGCAGAGGTTTCAAGCGGCATTTATCAACTTTTATCAGTATGTAACTTCTTAGCGATATTGTTGTATTGCCTACAAAGAAACCCTGTTATGAAACCTTTTTGTAACTGATCTAGTTCTGTGATATTCTTGATTTATCATGAAAGGATGGGAAGGTATACGAACAGTTAAACTAGTAGTTACGGAGTGATTGGATTTTTGAAATGTAAAGTAGGGCCACATATCTTCCTAACATACCTGACCTTCTGTAATCATGGTCACTAGTTCAAATATCGTACTCACTAAACAGCAAGGTGTATGTAGTGCTACAGAGCGTGGAAAGTAACGTTGATAGTTATTTTTTGACTGGTCTTATGCAGTGTCATTTGAATACTCAATTCTGTGGAAGTTTAGAGGGAATTTTAGATAACCTAAGTTTTCACTGTTTGCATTCATGAACGTGGTGCGCTATTTGTACCCAACGTGCCCATAAATTCATATTATTCAACATCTTTGGACCATATAAGAATTCATCTGAATAATCTATTATTATTTCATTACTCCGTCATCTTTTTAGGTTCGTCCAGAGATTCGTTCTCGTTTGGCTGTGTTACAACAGTTGGTCCCGAAACTATCTGAGAAAATAATCGGAGGTCCCTTCAATGGTCCTAGCAACAATGGAGTGACATCTAATCAAAGCGGTAATGGTCCTGGCCCAGGTTGTGGTGGGATAACGAAATTACCAACAGTCGACGAGGCATGGAGCTTACCTATACCGGCTGAACTTACTCAGCGTCAACTTCAGTTAATGTTACAGGAAGCAGCTGCCAATGATGCTGGAAGTGGTCATCATAAGCGCTCTGAAAGACACCTGGCGGGTCTTTTGCTAACCCCGTCTTCAAAATTAGCCTTAAGAAAACGCAGTAGTTGGCGACAATCTGGATTCAATGGTATGGTTTTTTTTAACACGTTTCTTTGAATAATGATATGCTTCCTTTTTTGCTATCGTGTTTGTATAAGGTAGTAAATTTTTAACTTCGTTTTAGAATTCGCGAATGACGACTCTATATTCAAGCACTCATGGGCATATCTAAGCTTTTTGTGAGCCATCAGATGAGTTGTGTACATCGATTAATGGCCATCAAGGACATCCATTCTTCCCATTATTATTTAGCTCTGTCATGGATGTGCTTATAGAGGCCTTTCTCTCCTCGTCTGACTTTAAAGGGATTGACCTTTTCGCAGGAGACTTCTAGCGAAGTAGAGTCCTCAGATGCAATAAAGCTGTTTAGGTAAAGACGCTGACTACATTCCAGAGCCTTCCGGGCACGTTGGTTGGCAATTTGAGAATGTTTTGGGAGTGTTTTTTTACCATCAAAATGTAAGTTATTGCTCCAGGAATGGTCTCTGTTGATGTCTTATCTAACAGTAGGAAGTGTTTGAGCATGTTAGCCGCCTCACTTAATTAGAAACTAGAATCAGCCCTGCTGGGTCAGTGACTGGCGATAAAAAAGGGTCACTTGGCCTCTGCCAACTTATGCCATTCATGACACCTCCGTGATGTCCAATTGTCTATTAAGAGTTGAGTATACTTCTCATCACTTTGCTCAATTCTACTATATGTCTGTGAAACATGTTTACTAAAGGTAGAGAACATAATGCGGCTTCAAGTGTTCGACCACCGTTGCTTTCGTGGTATTGTTGGTTTGTTGTGCTACCACATCAGTAACATTGAAGTCAGACGCAGATTCTTAGGTAGAGAAAAGTCAGTTGATGAGCTCGTAAGCCCTGATCAACTGATATACCTATTTTTTACTTAAAACTTTACTCATGCATTGTACACGTGGTGGTTTTATTACATGTAGACAGTGCTATGTACACAACGATCACGTCTTCTCATGTTCTCCACTTTTAACAGCCATGTTTCATAGTTATGGGGTAGGCTTGTGAAATTACTATGCAGTACATTTGACCCTCAGTAGGCAGTCAGATATCTCACAAAAGCCACAATTGACGTAAGTCAATGGGACTCTTTGTAATTGTAGCTAGGTTTCATGGACCACTAAGTCACTCGGTCCGATCTGACTTTCCTAGTAAGTGAAGTGGGAATGTTTTATATTTTTTCAATACGTATTTTTCATTTCTTTTTAGTATACCACTGTATGCTGCTATTACGTTTTATATTCCAGGTTCGTCTAAAACTGAAGAAACAGATGATTGCGGTGCATCTGTCTCTAAAAAGTCTCGTCATAGTGATCCATCCTCGTCAACACCCATCCAACCTTTAACCAACCAACAACTGCAGTTATTGCATTCCCTACAGGTACACTAATATCTGCATATCTAAGAAATAAATGTGTCACAAAAGATTTTATTTTATTTTAATGAATTATTTCCAGTATAACAAACTTTTCTAGAACACAATGCCTCAATTAAGGGAATTACGTGAATAAGTATATCATGCATAGTTTTCGCTTTCATAAAAAATGCACCTTGTGAAAAATGTATTCATATGATGTATATAAAGGATACTTCTTTTTCTTGAAACCAGTATTCATCAACAACACTAATATCGCAAACTTAGCGACAGCTTTGGAATTGTTAACAGCTGCTGTAGTGTTTCAGGTGAGATGCGGTAGGAGCCTTAGCATAAATAATTTTTATTTATTCGCATATTATCAAGTTAGTTTCTGGGAGGAATTTGAAGAGATTACCTTACGGGGGACTCATTACTTTCAGACACTGATCTACATACTTCTAGAGGTCACACATAAGGTTTTGTGAAAAATCTCTAGGGTTGCCGGAAGTCTACTCAGTATCTTTTAGAGTGACTTTCATAGCTTCATCCCACTGTTTTTATACGTTCTGGAAATATGTAATATCAATGCTAATTAGTATACAACACATGAGAGTTTTTCATACCAATGAGATTGCTTTATTTGAAAGCACAGTGATGAACTTACAACATGATATATGTAAAGTAACTAAGATTAAAGTAGCGTGATATTTGTTTCCTAATTTTTCCCGCAATATTAGTCCCCGTTTCGTGCTTTTATTGCACATTGCTAACAGAAATCTTTTCCATCTTCATAATGGTAGTGGGTATTTGACTGTATGTGGTTTGGAAGTGGTATCTGAACGTTTACGCCCTAAAATATTTCAATATAATTTTGTTTTTGTACATCACAGTATGTCTTAAAAGCCGTTTGTATATTGACTTTAAAAACAGATTAAATATCTATATACTATTCGAATCACTCAGTTCTAGAAAAAGTTTTGGTGAACTGTCACGTAAATTTTTCTTGTTTTGTATTCATAAGGCTCAAGGTAGTTGCTTAAACGCTTCACAACGTCAAATGCTTAACGACTTGCAGTGTCAAGCACTAAGATATCATCACTACAAGCTTATACAAAATCAGAATCTTTCAAAAATTTGTAAGTCTGGTAGCGATTTTACGGATGAGGCTGCTTCGACATCTGGTTCAGCCGGACCATTCCATGGGGATACTACCGGTACAACGGGTAGTTCCAGTGCTGATCGCAATCCATCCAGTGTAACGGGTGCAGATACAGTTGATTTATTTCCCACTGAAGATGATGATTTGACTGCAGTGGTTGACAGTCCTGGGTCTGGTCATTTGCCTGAAGAAGACTTGGGATTTTTAACAGATGATCTACTGGCGCAATTGAATGGGTCTGAAGCAGCTGCTGGATTAGACCTTGTTGAGCTAGCCTTATTTACGACTACCTCAAGTGCTGGTGATCAGCGACCTGCAAGTAATAACAACCAGGGTTTAATGGATGAGAAATCCAGTCAGCCCAAATGCGACGATTCTTCTACGGCCAGTTCAACTACTTCTGCAGCAGCTAACGCACCACGGACTATCGATTTAGATACATCTAAGAAAGAGGAAATGGATATGAAAAATTGTCTGACTCAGGAACTTGGCGTTGACCCTCTTATCAATTCTGTAGACAACTCGTCTTCAGATCCCGTAGATTTACATGCTTTCCTAACCAAGCCATTGAATCCGCCATCTAGCGTAACTGCAGCTTTACACGTCAATATGTCTTCTTCTCAAGTGAGTCATATCTGCCAAAATTGTTCGCTTTTTATGTAATATAGATGCATCTTTTATTTTTAGGTGTCTTGGATATATGTAGTGTAAGAAACCCACTATAAATGTCGGTCTTAATGTATACGTTTTAGTAGTGAGACGGTATTTTACGGTGTTTGTGTAACTTTTCCTGGTGCTTGCATTAAAATCTCTAATTTAGTTTGATCTTTGTATAGCACACGTCACAACCTTGTTTGTTAAAAATTTAGTGTAGGTACATTACTTTAAGACTCAAAACTAGGTAACTTATATGAAAATATGAAAATTGCCGTAGCCGTAAATGAAACGCCACTGTCTCTAAAATAAGGTTGTTTGATACAGACTATTGGATCATGGGTTAGAATCCTACCCCACGCTTTACTGTTAAAAAAGACCTAGTGCTGATAGCTCTGAAGTCATCGTTGTTGCTGACCATTTAATGCTTAAAGCTGTGCAGTTATTACATTGTTTAATTGCTTCTCGGATGGATACTTAAATTATTGCGTATTATAACAACGAACTCGATCCATTCTTCGCATAGTGTGTTTCTATTGTTTTGTTAGTTACTGCCCAATAATCTTACTGTTCGTTTATAATTTGTCCTTTCATTCGATACCCTTAGAGTTACTAGGATATTGCTAAATGAGTGGCTAAGTAAACTATCATTTTTATGCATAAAACTAATTGACGTAGGGGTCCATTTCCTCTAGTGCTCATCAATTAGCGTCTTTAACTCGATTAACCGTTCATGTAAACTGTTCACTGCATTTCTATCAGAAAATGCCAATTTTAGGCTAACTTTCCATGTCGACATTGGTACACGTCAACTATGTGTTGATGCAAACGGGTGTTAAATGTTATCCCCTATACCACCTTTACCGTATCTAAACAAATTGAAGGATTTTATAAAGCAATTTCATAGCTTCACATTCTCATTAAATTGCTTTGCCTTTTAGGTCCTATCTTCACTGCGTGGTCTCGGACGTTCCGGTGGACCTTGGTGGCCGGGTTTACTTCCAGAAGGGAGTCCGATTCCAAAACCCCCAGCAAAACCTTATCCACCTCCCCCTAAAGATAAGCTGTTGCCCCCTACACCAAGTGTATATTTAGAAAACCGAAACGACGCTCATTCACCGGAACTAATGCGCTATTGTTTCACGCAACCGGTTGTTGTAATACGTGGTTTGGCTGCTGCTCTTCGCTTAGATTTGGGTCTATTTTCCACTAAATCTTTGGTGGAATCGAATCCAGAACACCGAGTTGAGGTGAGTTAATTTCCAATCAAAACAGTTCTTAATCACTTATCATTATTATTTTTGCCGTCTGTGTTGTGACGGTCATCAATTTGTCTAGTCACCAACTGAAAAAGTAATTACTTTCAATCTAACTGTACTTCTGAATCATACTACTTAATTCTGATTGGTTCACTTTATTTCCCATATTTTTGTTATGATTCATTAAATGTACAGCATAGTTATGTGGAATCATAATGAGTTATGATTTGGTCTATAGTAGTAAATATCTGTTGTATAAGGTTTACAGTATGGTCACTAACCTAACTAGTTAACTCTAGTATTATATCGAAGTGGTAATCCCTAGCCCTTATTTCATACTTACCGGGTAGATTTGTTTGTTATTACTGAAGATTGCGTCTCAACACTGAAAACTATCCAGTGGTCAGTATATTCATAGATTTAGACTGACCATATCAGTAGCTAGATGTGAAGAACTCATACCTGCCTCTAGTTGCAGAGCTATACGAATTGAATTCTTTTGTTTTCTAGTGAAATATGTAGGTTTTAGGATAGGGTTTTAAGATGGAAAAGATGGGTTCATTAACTTTCTGTTGGCTAACTTCATCATACAAATGTCTTAATTATTTCAGCAATCAATTTTGGTGACAAATTATGCCTAGTCTTGAGCAGAAACTATATGCTGCTATTTTACTGCACTAGTCGGAATAAATTGGAGTCATCACCAACTTATAAAGGACTTTATTATAAATTTATTTATAATGAATATTTACGCACACAATGGTGTTTTCAATTTTGGTAATATTTCGAGCAAAACTATTGCCCATGACCACATTAATCGATAGAATTGTGATAAGTTCAATCCTCCATTGCGCGAACTTTTCATTGAAATAATTCAAAACTAATTTTTCTGTTGTTTTCCCATGAAACTTACACGGTTCTGATTAACTATTTGTCTTTTGATTGGTGGTTGGTTTAAGGACTCCACTATGGAATCCTTGAAATATATGTTCATACTCATCCCACTTATTCGGTCTTGGTAAATGCAGCAAGAACCTGCATCGATGATAGCCTAACTACTTTCGTTTAAGATTATTGGTGTCATTATCGTTTTCACATTAGTTCTACCCTGTATCCGTCTGCAGGTTCGAACTCAACGTCTTCAACCACCTGACCAAAATCTTGACTCTCAAGGACGTACTGTATGGTTTTGTGAATCACCAAAACAACAACAACAATCGCTAAATATGGTGCTTATCAGGCCGCTTCATTTATCGAGGCAATAAGAGAAGAAAAAGTTATGACTTTCTCTGGCAGCATACCAACCACTTCGACTCCAACTTCAAACGCAGTATCTAACTTGTCAGCAGATCTGAAGTCTTCTGCAGGTAACCTAACAAATGGTAAGGAATGTAAAGTATCGATCTCTGATTTTCACATATCTTTTGTACTTTTAAGAATAACTCAAGTTTTCCTATGCTTATTAACTTTCAGCCATGCTGGTCATTAACGTGTTTTCTAAGAATCGGGACAGCGTATTCATTTTTCACATGTGCGTTAAATTCAACTCAGTATTCGCATATTCAAGCCGTTTAAAATTGGATATCTGTTCGTTAGTGTAGGCGTTTGTAAATAGTCGGCACTGAGTGTGCGTTGAATGCTAGGTTGATCGGTCTGAGAAACTGTACAATGATTCAGAAAGCAGGGGTTACAGACGTCAACCAATTTTGTGCATCTTTTAGTCACTAATGTATATACTTTGGTTAATCAATGATGGCAACATATCATATTTCGAGAAAGACCAAATAACTGCAGTAATTATTTTAAGGAGGTAGATGGTATTCACGATCTCCTGATCGAAGTTTTTTCATCAAGTCACAGCAACTAGTTTCTGAAAGTGATAATAGTTTATCGGTATGATTCAAATGCTCTGCACCTTCGTGCTTTATTGTCACTCCTCCTCACATTCTGTTGTCATCACAATCGTATTTTAGTAGCTCTACTTTTATCACTATAAAATTTATGAAGTGACAGTAAAATAGTAGTGATTTGTACAAAGGATGCCGGATGATTCAATTACTATTTGAAAGTGTGGTCGTAAAGCAGCTTCTTAGCTCACTGCCATCAGGAAATCCACAACAATAATTATACAAATTACCACATCAAAACTGTGGTGTGTACGTATGTCATAACACATACACACACACCTGAGAAGCCATCTTGCTTTTATTCATTGAGAAGAACGGGAACAGTGCTTTCAGTAAATACAAGTCTGAGGTGGTGGTAAGTAGAGTTAGCCTTACTGTGTAAGTGAGAATAAAAAGTGTTAGCTTGACCGATGAGTTTGATCTTGCAATATTAAAGCATGCATACTAAATGTCATGGTGGAGAATATTTGTAGCTCAGGTGGATGGTCTTGGTTATATTGTGTCCTCTAAGCTGGGTTGTTTAATCGTGGAGCTTTCATCGTCTTTCGACATGACATCATCAGTACTAACCTCAGTTTGAAGTGAGCTGTCAATATCTCTCCATGAGTAATTTAGTAGCTTGCCCAGAGGAACTGGTTTGTGTTTGGTTGTTTTTTTTGATTGTTGTGTCATTGACTGTATAGATTTTCCTGTTGGCTGTTCCTCTGCTTGATTCTGATCTTTTTGTTGTCTATCATTTTTCTCATTGGTTGATAGACTGGGTCTATGAGTCTATACATCTATTGATTGCTGACTGATTGACCGACCTGAATGCTAAGCTTCTAGGAATTCTCTGATATTCTTTGTGTTTCATCTGTCCAAGATTTTGACTGGAATTAGTGCTGATGATGTCGTCTAGAAAAACGATGAAAGCTCCACGATTAAACAACCCAGCTCAGAAAACACAATATAACCAATACTAAATGTCAGGTCGCTAGATCTTCACTCTTCATTTTATTCGAGTTTTGTTACACATCTTAATATCTTCCTGATGAGTAATCGTTGCTTAGTGGGTTTGCAGGATAAAATAAGACGAAATTTTTACTGCGAATTTCACTAACATACACTTTCAACTGTAATCATTTAGTTTACTTTCTTTTCTTTCCTTCGCTTTTCATTTGATTCCAATGAAGTCATGCCAGGAAGTGGACGGAAAAACGCATCTCAATGGACGAGTGAATCAACAAATTCAGAATCCAAGTAAGATTGTTAGTGACTATGAGGTATTGCGCTTACGGGAATATTCATAACTGCCTGAATTGAGAAAGCCTTTGTCTCAAAAATTGTTAGGTTTTTTCTTCGCGGTTATCACGAACTTCGCTCTTCCCTCCTGGATATTGAGTAGTTTATAAATTCAGAATAATACCGTTATTTTTAAAAACAAGCTTGTTGTCTCATAATGAAGGTAGTGATGAGAACAGTCACTGCAATCTATCACTGGATGGTGGTGTTGCAATTTACCGTTGTTTGGGGATGATGAATTCGTTAGTAATAACTGAGTCGAAAGTATTTCTAAGACTTAAATTCTTTGTAAAGATTCACTCCATTCACGGAAAAGTCAATCATTTACAGTGATACTTACATTGACCATTGGTTTTCTCTGGGTATAATATTTTATAAATAGCAAGTTTGTTGAGCAATAAATCCATTCATGTTAATTAGCCTTAAAAGTTATGTTTCATTCGCTATATTTTTACTCTTCTATTCAATATGTAGTCCAAGTGGAGTAAACCATCCTCAACATATAGGTGTTAAATTTCCTGTTGATGAAAACCAGTCCGTATCACAACAACAAAATGCAGGACGTTCTAAACTGATACGATTTGGTACTAATTGTGACCTTTCAGATCAGAAAAAATGGTTACCTCAACTGCATGAACTGACAAAATTGCCAATTTTCGTACGCGTTGTTAGTGCTTTCAGCATGCTTAGTCATGTGGGTTACCCTCTCCTAGGATTGAACACAGTTCAACTCTATCTGAAAGTAAGCAAGGTCTTACATATCCTAGCTTATACAATGTGAAGTTAACAAAGCTTAGATTGAAATATTTTTACGTCCATTTTAGGTTCCTGGCTCCCGTACTCCAGGTCATCAAGAAAATAACAATTTTTGTGCTGTTAACATGAATATCGGTCCAGGTGATTGTGAATGGTTCGCTGTGCCGGAACAGTATTGGGGTGCTATCCATGATTTATGTGAAAAGAATAATGTAAATTTCGATAGAATTCAATATTTATTTGAGTAAAAATTAAGTCTTACTTTGTTTGTGAATGTATACCGAGGTCTTTTGTACAGTGTACAACTGTCATCAGAAATTACCAATCTGACACATCAGTGTTACACTTTGAAAGATGAATGTATTTTATGTCGATTTAATTAAGCTATTTTTGATTGTAATTATCTTACACATCTCATCTGAATAGTGAGACAATATTTACTCAGTAACCACGCCTAACATCCTTTTTTCGTCACGTGTAAATATAATTCTCTATAACCTATTGGTTTAATAAGCAACAGGGAACTCCAACCAGGCAACGAACCAACCAACAACCCATCGCCCAACAAATATGCAGAAAGAAATGAAGGTGGATTGGATTGGACATACACTGAGAAGACCATTTCGGGACATCACTTCCCAGACCAGACCCTCGAGTGGAACTCAAAGGGGAAACAAAGAATTGGGCATCCGAAGGTGACATGTAGGAGATGGTGTGAGGAAGAAATGAAAGGTTCTGGGCAGTCGTGGAGCCAGGTTGAAAAGAGTGGAGAGAACAGAGTGAAATGGAGACGTGCTATTGATACCCTATGTTCCACTAGGAACCCAAAAGACAAATAATAAAATAATATAACCTAATGGTTGATAATCTAGTACCTAAATCACTGAATTCTTTCAAGAAATACCTGTGGTTCTATAACTAACGCGTAAGCTAAATGTTCTGGATACATGAAAACTATAAGTGTAGAACTTGTGCACTATGGCAGAATGCAGTTGCATATTAGACCTGTTTATTTGATATACAACACAGTGATACAGTATTTTTTTTACCTGATGACATTTCCTGCGTAAACTATTGCTCATAAAATCACGTAGCTTTCAACATCTGATTTTTATAATCCTATCATCTCACATTCTTTGCTTTCAGTGGTAGTAAGATTTTCCACATCCCCACTTTAGTTGTTGCATGTGTTGAGTGTTGATTCGATAAACAAAGACTCAGTGATCAACCTTTCTCTCCACCAAACTATATCAAACTTAGTTACAATGGTTTTATCCCATCCTATTACTTGGTTATGTGTTAATGCCCGCATTACAGGAGCCTAGTTTTTTCGGGATTATTGATCCTGTTGGGGTCTGTTGCTCTAAATTTGACTAAATTCATATGTCCCGACAATCTAGCTGACCTCGACCAGTCAGTTTGACTTGTGTACTTGACCTCACAGTCATTGGATGAAATTTGGTAGAAGAGATTATTTTGTTCAGCTGGGCTTATCGAATCCCTAAGCACACAAAGTTTATCGCTGAGTGAGTTTGTGGGTTTGAATGCCATCCTAATTCCAGCCTTGTTGAGAACCCTACGTAAAATTTCTAATGTTCCTCCCTTATGTGGTAACGCAGTAGAGGCCTTAAACTCGTTTCCACTTGTTGTTACTAATCATGTTCATATTACCCTTACTACTTGGTTTTTTATGTGTTCTTCAAAATTTCCTAATAAACTCTGAAGGATAATTTTGAATAAGTAGTGTTTCTTTTATATTTGAATACCTAGTTTAAGTTCTTGGATTCAACAGTAAGTTTCCTGGCTGTATTATCTAAACACAATTGAGCCAGCCTTCCTTGATATTAAATGAGACGATCATCCGATAAATTAGGATGAAACCATTTTAATTAAGTTCAGTATGTTTAGGTGGAGAGAGATTGATTACTGAATCTTTGTTCATCGACTCAACACATGTAACAGGAATGATGCTGAAGATGTAGAAAATCCTACTAACACTTAAAACAAAGAATATTAAATGATAGGACTGTAAAAATCAGATGTTTAAAGCTGCGTGATTACTTTGGCATGATTTTATGTGCAACAACCAATGCTGGAAGCGTTGTCAAGTAAATAATACTGTATCACTGTGTGCTGTGTCAAATAAACAAATCTAATATAGAATTATATGAAGACTAGTTGTACTGTTCGTACTGAAGTGTGGGTGAATTGCAAGTTAAATATCTAGTACTCTAAACAATACCACTACTTCTAGGTAGTCATTTCTCAGAAGAAGGAAATAAACTTTATTAGGTGACTGTGCCAACAACTACCTGGTCGTTTGTCAACATTTATGCGCAAGTTGTCAAACTAATACCGTAAGAACAAATGCTTGATTTATGAACGAGTCTTGCTTTTGAGTTAGATACTCAATTGTTTACAGGTTTTCATACCATTTTTTTAATACTAGTTTCCATTTAATATAGTTTGTTTGATTTAAGTTGACATCTCTTATTCATCTCACACATTATTATTATTTGTCTTTTGGGTTCCTAGTGGAACATAGGGTATCAATAGCACGTCTCCATTTCACTCTGTTCTCTCCACTCTTTTCAACCTGGCTCCACGACTGCCCAGAACCTTTCATTTCTTCCTCACACCATCTCCTACATATCACCTTAGGACGACCAGTTCCTCAGTTCTCATTTGAGTTCCACTCGATGGCCTGGCCTGGCGCATGATGTCCGAAATCGGTCTTCTCAGTGTATATACAATCCAATCCACCTTCATTTCTTTCTGCATATTTGTCGGGCGATGGGTTGTTGGTTGGTTCGTTGCCAGGCCACAGTGAGTTCCTTGTTGCTTATTCTGTCCGTGTGATCTTCAGTATGGAATGAGCATAGGCGGTAGCTGTTGATGAATGTCTGCAGTTTGTTGGAAATGCTTTTCGTGACACTCCAAGTCTATGAACCATTACACAGAAGCACTGACTTGACGTTTGTGTTGAAAATGCGGATGTTGTTCACGCTTTATGCTGGGTGGAGTGCAGTAGATCTCCACACTGGTTTCAGGTTAATGAAGGCCTGTCTTGCTTTCCCGATCCCGGCTTTGACGTCCTCGTCTGTGCCACCTGTAGTTGAAATGATGCTGCCTATGCAGGTAGGTGGAAGAGACTACTTCCTTTAGGTTTCTCCCGTTGATGGTTATTGGTTGTTGTTGTTGGTTGGTTGGTTATCATCATCACCTCTGCATTCTCTACGTTGACTGGAAGTCCCATCTTCGCCGCCCCGCCTCTTCTGTCAACTTGTTAGTTTTCGCCTCTAGCTCTTCGAGTTTGTGTGACATTAGACATAAGTCATCATCGTTGGCGGAATCCAAGTCTTCTAGGGTCCTTTCCCAGATCCAGCGTGTCCCCCTCTTCTCACTCCTCACAGTTATCTCTTGGATGATCCAGTCGACCACAATCAGGAAGATCATGAGTGATAGTAGACAGCCTTGTCTTACTCCTGTCTTCACTTCAAAGGCATCACTGAACTTTCCATTGTCAATCACTTGGCATGTGGCGTCTTCACATAGCTGCTGAATGAAGTTGATAAAGGTTTGTGGCACTGTAACCGTAGTGTTGAAGGAGGTGCCTGCAAAATTACTTCTCAGTCGACACTGTCGAATGCCTTTTCAAAGTGGATGAAGTTGAGGTAGAGATTTGACTGGTATTCGATGCGATGTTGTATGATGATGTGTAGCGTAGTGTTGCAATGTTATCCGCACATGATATGTTTTTCCTCAAGTCAGTCATCCAGCCTGTTTCGTTCGTAATCCAGTTGAACCCAGAGCACTTTGTAGTCTCTCCAGGATGATGCGGCCTAATATTTTGCTTGCTCTGAGTGGACAGCAGCATGATTCCGCGTCATTTCCTGCAACTACTTAGGTCGCTTTCCTTTGAAAGTTTGACAAGATAGCCCATCTTCGAACCGATCAGCAGAAACCCTTCCTTCATTACTTCTTTGCAAACCATCTGCAATGGTGTTCTGGTGTGAGCATGTCCGCTGTTGTGTCTGTGTCTGTTTTTAGTGCTTCTGGCGGGATTCCATCTGGTGCTGCTGCTTTCCCAGATTTCAGCAACTTTATGGTGTTCAGGACTTCGCTTCTGCTTTTGTCGGAAGGCTTGGATTAACTGATAGTTCTGTGGCTGGGCTGCTGGTGGTATTTCCGGACGAGTTGCAGTTGGTGGTCTGTTCAAGAGTTTTTTGAAGTGGTCAGTCCGTTCATCTCACATTAGCACATCTTAAATGTATGTGATGACGTTTTTGGTGGTTTCTTTGCGTAACAATTTGTCATGACTTGCTGCATATCACCTTTCAAATTTTATCCAATTTTTGGATTGTCTTCGCTTTTTTGTATCAAAATGTAAAAACCATTAGTCTAAGTTCTGCTTTGTTCACTTTTGTTTTTCGCCCACATTCTGAAGTATAAATATTTTTCAAGGCCTCATTAGGAATAGTGTCAAGGATGATTGAAATGAAGAACATTTTGCTGTTAGTTATGGCATGTTTTAATGGTGACACTATCATATCTATTTAATTATATACTGTTGCCATTGCAGTCTGGAAATGTTCTTCGACGAAACTTATAGAAGAGTTTATGATCAAGCTGACATTTGGTTATAAACACATACCAACTAAAAAAATGTGATGCTGTGTGAACTTGGTTTATTTCCCTGTTTCTAAATTTTATACCCAGGTGGATTATTTGACTGGTTCTTGGTGGCCAGATTTAGAGACATTGTACAAAGAAGAAATCCCAGTGTACAGGTTCATCCAGCGACCTGGTGACTTGGTATGGATCAATGCAGGTACAGTTCATTGGGTACAGGCAATTGGTTGGTGTAATAATATTGCATGGAATGTGGGAAGTATGACTGCTCGACAATATCAGCTAGCTGTTGAACGGTATGAATTTAACCGTTTGCGTGGAGTAAAATCTGTTGTTCCTGTGACACATCTCAGCTGGCAGTTGGCTAAAAATATCAAAATCTCGGATTCTGGATTGTTTGAGTTAATCAAGTAACTACTTACCATCTTTTTTTCTAGATGTGACTTTAAAATCTTTCATCCAATTTTTTATCATAGAAATTATTTGCACAGGAGATAGTAGTCTACATTTTATGAGTGTTATGTTAGCCTGGTGAACTTTGTCCATCAGTTTATCTAAAACAAACAAGTAATTTTGTTAAGAAGGAAATATAACTTTGTCAATTACTTTGTTTTGTTCTATAGGTTTATTGTTCCACCTGTCACGAAAAGAATCAAAAGTCACCATGTACACCCTCTTGCAGTAGGCAATGAGCCACACCTATTGTGTCAGGGCTAATGATGCGTGTTATCTGGCTCCCTTCACTTTTGTAGATGAAGAAGGACTCGAAGCTGCGATTCACTAGTTGGGAGCTGAGTGTCTTGACCAATGAGCCTCAACTCTACCTGAAACACCAACAAGTCGTTCTTAAAATATATTAGATCCTTTGCGTCTATCGGAGTTCTATTTATCTCGACACCTGTAGTCACATTATTGCGATTGTTTCAACTGTAAAGTAGCGATATACGACCATCTACACCTTTATCGTGTTAGGCATCTGTAATTTAACCTGTATCTCTGGGAATTGACAATTTTATCTGCAAACTAATAGTGAGAACTGGGATTCTCCCAGTTTTCTTGAGTCTTTTGTTTCCGAGCTACAGTTCGTGTTCTGATTGTTATTGACCCAAAGCTTGTTCATTAAAAGAAGGCTTCTTGTTGTTTCTCACTAAATGTGATTTTCGAATATATGGCTTCTTACGTGTTCTAACGTGTAACTTGAGTTCTGCGTGTTACATAAGATGGCAGTAATATGTATAGTCATTTATTCTTTTTGTTATCTTCGTAATTTGTCACACTACCACATAGTTTTGTCTTCGTATTTACTACATAAATAGCTACTTGTGTAAATACTGTGTTAGCGCTGTTTTTAACTTCAATAGATATATAACACTTGACAATATGTCTTGAAATAAGTGGTTAAGCTTTCTTATCCAATTGATTCACTGAACCTTTTCTGACTAGGATCAGTGTTTATTGTAGATGGTATAACCGAATTGTCTTAGGAGATTTGAAAACGAATTTGTATTATCAATTGTTGAGCGTAATAGTGGGAAAGTATGTATCCTTCAAATTATGCAGTTTTTTTAGATCATATCTTATTTTCGAAATGATTCATTGGGATACTCTATCCTTCTTTCATAAAGATCCGATAAATCTGTCAGAATTCCTTAGGATGTGATCAAAGTAGAACAAAGACAAGAACCAATTAGTGAGACGAAATATGTGTCTAGCTTTCAAACAAGTGTGATTATGTCGAACCCCACTCACATCGTTGGTGTAAAGATAAAAAACTGTTTTTTTTATTTTGATATCGTTTCTGTGATTCTTTGTAATGACAATAAATAACTACGGTATCGGTAACTACGTTCACCGGAACCAATTCTCAGTAATTCATTCCATGTTCCACCATTCATAAAGAGCTAATACAACCCTTTTAGTTGTAGCCACTTCAGGTTCATTAGGGAGACTAATCAGAGAAATTATCTGGTCATAAGTGCATCTACCCGATGACATTAAAATGTTTGTTTTATTTGCTTGTTTCTGTTTATTTATTTTAAAAAGCTTCCGTGTGTTAACATTTTTCTTCCAGACATACACTGCTTCGTAGTCTTGTTCAGTCTCAGTTGACTACTGACTTTCTGGAGAAAATGGGTTTAACTATTAAACATCATGGAAAGAGACCTGATGACATTGCTCATTCCTGTCATGACTGTGAGGTTGGTGAATATTTTGTTGTTGATTAACTCTAGGCAAATGCAATCTATGATTAGCAAAAGTGAAATTTTTATTGAAACCCTACATTTTTAATAAAGTTTAATTTTACCTTTCAAAACGAACGTTGTGAGTTATAATTTCTGACTATACATATGTAGACCTTATCAAAGCTAGAATAGGACTGAGACTAGAACTTCGTAGAGCGAGATTAATTGTGGGGTTACTCCAGTTGATAGACAGGTGTAATCACCTCTGAAAGTACCAACCTGCGCACATCAGCGTAGGATTTAATAATAATAATAATAAAGTGATCTGAGACTGATATTATCAGAGGACATAAAAGGGATTGCGACATTGATGTATGTGATATCACTATGTATAAGATATGAATGCCTCGGTGTTATGAAGACCAACTCTGAGCTATATCAGCTATGGCCTCTAATGATTAGCTTAAGTTATTGTTCAGACCTCACCTTAGAAGTCTACACTCCCCTACGTGAATGATAACAATATTCAGACACTTTTTGGATTGATATCGTATCCTTGTCTTATTTTTTGAACACTTTTCCAAACTAGTCCACCTGCAGCTAACATAATACATGGTTTAGACATGCAATAATGATACACATCTCTCGGAACGTGCGTAATATATTTCCTAACCATATCAGTCACTCAAGGCTAGGATACCGTTTATCTTATCTTCTTCCCAACTGATAGCTGGTACCTTGATGTGGTGGTCGGACTTGGATATCAAAATGACCCACCAAGCAATGCAGGTTGATTACTTGCCCCCTTGCGGTCCTACCATCCTAGAAAGGTTTGTTAGATAGTGGTAACATGAACAGCAGTTACCATTATTGTGTGAATAGCTACGTTATGATGGAGGTCTGATGGCGAAGTTGTGCTGCTAGATTGGCAGGACGTAACAACAGTAAGGTGTTTCCCATGCTGATGCTGCCTTCCCTGTGAAAAGGAGGATTAGAAAAGGTTCGCCTAAATATCACACTTCTTGCTGACCTGCTGTATGCCAGTGTCGGTGGTATGGTTTTTTTTATCCCGCGGTATCACAACCAAATCTCAATTGTAAGCTGTTAGAAAGACCGTATTTGATAGGCCTGAAGTGGATGTGTCCTAGGCTCTGCAATCACGCAGCACTGTTACTCTTATGGTTTCTTTTATAGATACCTCAAAAAGTAATCCTCCAAGGTATGAGCAGCTAGAAAGTATCAACCACCACATCTCTATGGGGAATCGATTTTCTTCAGATTATCAACCGTGTACATTTTTACCTTCGAGTCTTACTTCGCATTCTTTTATCAGCATTCCTACGTCATCTTTAATTTCTTTTAGTTCTCTGTAACGATTTGAGTTCACACAACAGCATCTCTGATCTCGTTGAACCGTTCTTAAATCTACACATTGGGGCTTTCAATGTCCGCATTCTCGACCAAATCAGCGAACAAGTTTCGCTAGCCAAGGCCTTGACATTTCGGGCCATGGACGTGTACTGCGTTTTTTGAGACAGAACCCAAGTGCGGTTATTCTCCTAATCTAAGCCGGCCAAATGGTGAATCCATGAGATTCATCCTTCAGGTTTCCGGAGATACGATAGCTAGTTCTCCCTATCTTGTAGGTGTAGTAGAGCACTGATTCCTAAGACAGAAAGTTCACTGCTGAACTGAATCCCAGTTTACTGTCGTTTGTACACTGTTCGATGGAGTGTGGATTTAAAAGAGTAGTGATTGTAATGAACGTCAGTTGATTTTTCATTGATGGTTTAGATAGTATAATTTTAATCAGACTACCTTATAATCTAAAAATAAGGTTTATGTCTGATTTACTTTCTCGAGCTAGATAGATTAACCAAATTGATCTGGAAATCAAATTTTATCGTAATGCGAATCAGCTACCAAGTGCAAGTTAGTGCAGTATAAGCAATGAACCAGATTTACTGTGACTGACGACTGGTGGTGATACTGCTTGGTTGCCTAAATCTTGGTAGGTGGACCGGAGGTTCCAATACGTTATCTACTGGTTGAAAGTCGAGTGCCTAAAACCAATGAACAACAGTTTCATATGTTGTCAAAATATTTGATTTGTACTGACTCAATCAAACTTTTCGAAATTTCCCTATGACATAGCTTTTTTGTTATCACTTAAATTGTTTTCAGATTGAAGTCTTCAACCTTCTATTCGTACTATCACAAGATAAGAAATTGGTTGTTAGATGTCTAGACTGTTCACGTCGTATGGATCCCAGTTTGAAAACATTCATTATTTTATCGGAGTACTACATGCATGAATTGGCTGAAATATATGATAAATTTCAGCTTCAGACTGTGAGTTCTATATGTAGTTTTCGTATTTATCTCTATTGTTCATTATGTGAAAATAAAAGTATGCCAATCTAACATTCTTCACTTGGGCCAGCAGAGTAAGCGAGATCCAGTCTCTTACGCAATGCAATAACAGTTTATAATTTACTTGAATCTGTTTTTGATCAATAAGTCACAGTTTCTTCATTTCGTTTGCAAAATAATTTTCATTTTCACTGATTTCCTAAAGGTTGAAATATTGTTTTACTCCTGAAAATCTTCTACTTATCCATATTCGATGATAAACTACCTGAGTAGTTCTAAATGATAAATGCCGATGAACAGTAATCGCTAGCCTGTAGGAACTGGTTTTAAGGAAGCACCAAATCGATTTATTGCATAAACACCGCTTCACTTCTAGTTATCTGCACGATTAAACAAGTATTGCATAGATAATTGAAGCTGATAAACTTTTTCTAAAAGTGCTGTCGATGTCCGTGACACAAAACACTAACGTTCTTACCATTGTGCATGATTTATATGGCTTATTTGAAGTTCATGTGTATACTAACAACTATTCGTTATTTCATTCGTTTCAGCAACCCATTACTGCTTATCCAGTCGGAAAATCTTGATCTAATGTGTATTCTGTGTTGCCAATCACTGCTGTTAACGGAATCGCAATAGCAGAAACTTAAATTTTGATATACTTTTCTACAGTTTATCTCCCCTATGTATATGAATATATATATGGATGCCCTAGTCTGATTATATGTACAATAAATTATGGTTGGAATACTTAGTAATGTATGTTCATTCCAACTAGGGATATTTCGGTTTCTTTTCACCGCATTTTTGTGATTTCGTATGTTGAAAACTCATTCATTTACTTATGTTCCTAACACATCCGTATGTAAATAAGCCTCACTACTTACATTTTAGTATATTGTATGAATTTATTTCTCTTGTTTTAATGAAAACTTGTTTATATCTCAAAAATACTTTTCTTTGTTATTGCTGCTGCCAACCTAATGGTGCAATAGTATTCGCTAAATGGAAATGTTTTAACAAATTTGTTTTATGCATTTTAATTGTGTTATGTGGGGGCGATGATTGAAAGCGAATGAAAATCTGATCTGAGCACCAATACTAATTCGAACCAGAATACACTGAACTGCTAGTTAACAACTCCCGATTAGGCTTGTCAAGTCCCAACTGTATTTCTATCGTAAATCGGCGTTTGTCGCTGTTATGCAAGCGTTAGTTAAATATCAACAGGCGAAATTAGAATCATAGGAATAGCTGGTGGATCAAAACCCTGTTTCTCTCGTCTCAACCGTATAGTTTCAAGTATTCTAAACTTTTTTATTCTAGCTCATTGTCCTTAGCATAGATGCGATATCTTATCCGTGACAAATACACTTCAGTTTGTGTCTATGCTACTATAGAAAGTTTTGAGTTAATATGAATCAGTTAAACTGTTGATTTATTCTGTTTAATCAAATAACTCACATACCTCTGCAGAGGCGGTTGTTAGTGTATGCTATAAACTCACTGAAGTCATAGATTATGTGTTAACTCCCTTGCGCAAGGCAACTAATGTTAATTGTGTCTGAATGTTTTACTGGTAATAATCGTAGGTTTTATACCTTTGTATGATTAAAATAGACTACGAAAAATGGGTTTAAATTAAATGTCGGTTTCAAGACAGCACTCCGGGTTTGATGACATCATCATCGGTATAAAAAGGACCATATCCATCCAGTAAAAATCCTAATACGCTACCCAAGCAGTCAGCTTCATGAATTGCTGCCAAGTTTTGGTTTGCATTTTTTAAGCTTATCCGACCTAGTCCTACTCTCTGGGTAGACGATGGCTATACAAGCCTTATGCGTGTTGTAACCGCCTCAGTTCGTAACTTGGTCGACTGTTGCTTTACGTACGATTTCCCTATACATGAGCATCATTTCGGAGAGCGCTTATGACAGTAACCTCATTCCCTTCAGTGCTCGTGTTCCAATCGTTCACAGTGTTCTGAAGTATAATTAATCGCTATTAATGTATTCCGTTTGCTGTAAGTCTTTTTAAAGTACGTACAAGCAAAAAGTTTTGCTCCTCATTTATGTAAATAACCTAAGGAAAACAGACTATCATCTTTCAGTTATAGATTACGCCAGAAGTTTCGTAACACTTCTGAAGCACTTCCCTCTATCGTATCGTCTGTCAGAGTACAATGAATGCATTTTGCACTTCAAAATGACGTAAAGTGTTGTTTAGATAGACAAAATCTTATCAGAAATGTCTTCGTGTTGGGCTGGGTGTAATCGTTGATACCCATGATTGAAAAAATCCTGAAGAGATAAGCCGGATCATAAATCGTAGTGAATTCGCCATTGGTTGAATTGTGTTGATTTTTTTGTGTTCGGAAAGCTCAGCTAAATTGGGAAGCTGAGTAATTCTTCCTCGTCGAAGAAGAAGAACTATTTATCAATGTCCTAATTGATTTTCTATGTATTGGTCGTCGATGCAACATAAGACAGTATATAACGGTTTAGAAATTTCAGAACTTCATTTGGATTTGGTCAACTGACTGATTGAAATAGCTGTAGCATCACTTATGCGCTACTACAACTGTCTTACTACTTTTTTCTTATTTTTGGCATATTTTAATCGAGTCAACTGTGATTGAGATAATTTTTAGACCACTCTAGCAGCTACTAAAATAAACAATCCTTTTTCTTTATCTTAGCTTGAAAAATAATATTTTTGTAAATTGACGAAATACAGTCGTTTATTTCAGTAGTTTCTTGAGTGGTTTCTAAGTTCACTCACATTTCTAAGCTTCATCCAGCAATTATACACTGTTTTCTAACTACAGTTCCGCTTATTACTGAACACATTATCTACCTATCTTTTTCTTATATTGAAGATTACTTATTTTTCGGAAACACCAGGAATTTATGCTTCAGTGTCATTTGTGTACAGCTTTGTGGGCGTAAACCTAATGATCATATATGTGATTATCTACATGATTCTACTTTTTACTTTTGTTTCTATTTTATCATTCATATTTACGAATTTTTAACTGTCTCTACTAACTTCATTTTTGTTTGTGTTATCTCTAAGTGGGATTTACGTCCTATCCATCCATCAACTAACCTCTTCTGAGACATTTTTATGCAACTCCATTAGTGCAATATATTCCGAACGAATATAATACGCACGCTTAACTGACAGCTAACTTCGTACGCAAAAGCCACCGATGCAACCCGGGACGAACAGAGAAGAAGACCGAAGCTAGATTTTATTCCTCCGAGAATAATCAATTATACTGTGTGATAATTGAAGGTGAAGTGAAAATTTGGACCACGGCCGGATTCAAACCAGGGACCACCGGGTTTTCGGTCCGATGTCCTACCAACTGATCTACGAGGTCCGAGAGCATCGGACTAAAAACCCAGTGGTTGCTGGCAGAATCTGGCTGCGGTCCAAATTTTCATTTCATCTTCAATCACCACCCAGTATAAATACTACTCTACCAAACTATGGCTATCTCAGATAGTCAAATGATAATAATCAGTTAATTAATTCAAAAACGTGAGTATGTATACACATGAAATATAACCTTGTCTGTAAATGGATACATTGACATAGTAAGAGTAGGGATTAACCAATAAGCGAACTACACTGCAAATGAAGCGGTGTAAACATGACAAGTTGAAAGTGTTCAGATCAATAACAATGCTTTATGCAAAACTGAGGCCTTACAACAATTAGACGAAGGAGTTTTATGCAGTAAATTGATGTTGTCTATTAACCGTAGTTCAGAAGATGAGAGGATTATGTTTTAACAAAGCACTAAAGCAAGAAACTCAGTTCTTGAAGATGATAAAACAGCTAGGTTTAATCCCATTGCGAGAAAAAGAGCTTCGCGATGTAGACAGCTGATTGATATGAGTGATTAAATACTTTTCTGATGAATGTATAATGTTCATTAGACAAACGGAAGTGACGTAAACATTCGACGGGGATTTCCATCATTCAGCGGTCTATTTCGCCATCAGTGTACTTGCACAGATTCATTTCAAAGATGAAAACCGTTCAAATTGTCACAGTTATATCAGAATTTTGTGGAGTGGAAATAAAATGTATCATCACTGTATTTCATTGAAAAAATTCCTATTCATAAATGTTAGTAATAACTGAGTACAGTATTGTAAGAAAATCAATGATTTCATCTAATTTTGGAGGAGTTAACCGTTTTTCTAATAAGTAATAATGTATATCATCTATCAACTAGTGATTTTTCGATGAGGTTTCTACTTTATGTACCTTACTACCAGACTCATTTATTCTCACTTGGATTATGTTAACTCAAAACACTGCAATATCATTTTCTTATGATGATTTCAGAGATTTAGTTTTCAAAAAAAAAATGGTAGAAAGTTGATTAGTTTTTCATTATCATCCTGCATTATATTTTGTCCATGAACTTAGAAACCGACCTCATGTCTTAACATTTCTTTAAGTATGGTCGATTTTCTTGGTAACAAATTTTTGATTGGTTCTATTTGTATTATTGTTATTTCATTTATTTTCCAGCAGCTGATATGCTGTTACATACCTGTGATCGGTGTATAAACTTGTTTAAATTTGTTTTTGTATAAACTGGTATGTTTGATTAGTAGTTGAAGTCCATGAAAGAATAGAATAGAATAGACGATTCTTTGCGTGTTGACGTGTGCAATTGAAGCATCGTTTCTTAAATGATACTGAATTATACATTGCAAGAAAACTGTAATAATTCTATCATGCTTATCTGCGTTGAACCACAATATTCAAAAAAAGATTATGAATGATGCAAATATTAGGTATTCTTTGCATTCAAACATCATCAAAGACATAAATATTCCCATTGAGTCATCAGTTAAAAACTTCAGGGAATGAATATCAAATATTATGTGATTGCGCTTAAAATATAATTGGTATGCACAGCTAATGACAAAAGACATCGACATAACTTTGCAGAATAATAATTGTTCAAGAAGATAATATAGCAATGAAAGTTAGATAAATTCTCAGATTTTTAACAGCGTAAATTAGTAACCCTGGTAAAACACACACGTAAATTGAAATTAAAAAAATGAAGAATACACCTCAATGAGAAATTGGCATCTCAGTCGGAAATTAATTAACTTTATTACCTACTCTACGTATCCAGTGTTTATGAAATCACCTAGAATCGATTGTAGTTTACTTATTTGTGGCTAGCAGTGGCCCCCCTTGGAACTTGGGAGCTGGATATTCCCGATGAAACTAGAACCTCGTGCCCATCGCTTCAAACGCCAAAGAGTTTTCCATTAGTCTGCTGAGGCAAGATAACCTCAGTGGGAATAACATCACTCACTGGGGTGGAGGTCATTGAATGCACGTCCTGGATCCCACTGCTGGCCACAACTAAGTAAATCATAATAAATATTCAGGCAATATCGAGGCATCTGCATAGGAGCCCATATGCCAAATTGATCTAGTATAACAACGGAGAATTACAGTTACCAATAGAATCGATCAGTTGAAACACAATGCCAAAGATTTTCTGCTTCTGTTTTTTACAGTAGCGTGACATAAAAAGTCA